AGCAGGGGGAGTTCAGTGGCGTGCAGAGCAGCCCACGCAGCTCCTGGCGCAGGGCACCCGGGGGCCAGAGCTCCAGGGCAGGAGAGCGGGAGCAGGCGGCTGTGGGACAGCGCAGTGGCCAAGGCTGGGGTGCAGCGGGGCGGACACGGTGCTGGGCACCCTGCTTTGGTTTTCAAATGGGCTTGTCTCTATGCTGAGACCCAGTGGAGGGAGGCTGTTCTCAGGGCGCACGGCCCGATTCGGCTTGCGGCACAAGGGAGACGGGCCCCTGCCCTCTGGGGAACGGACCGTGCCAAGGCCAGGTGCAAGGCCAAGGCATGCAGAGGCAGGATGCGCAACGGGGGTCAGCGGGGAAAGAGGTCCCAGTTACGCTTGCCCCATCTCAGCGACGACCCCGGATGAAGGGGGAGCCGCATGCACGGCCATCCTCTCCCCGATAAGCCAGCCGGGGATCTCTCGGCGGGTCAGAGTACCATCCAGGAGCCCGCCTGGAGGGGCGCGGTAGCACCCAGCAGACCTCGGCCGCAGCCAGACCCCTTGACCCCAGCGGACGAGGAGGGCCGGGCGTCTGTGCCACGGCGCTGTGAGGCTCTTGTGAAACGACTGCAAACTACATTAGCTGCGATTGCATAATATTTAAATTGATTAAAGGAGCCAGCTCAGCATTTTTGTGTTAAAGATTAAACACAATTGGAAAGAAAAGGCAGCCTGAAAGCTGACACCCAGGGCCCGGCTGATAACAGCCCAGACTTGTTATTTCGATAATAATTTAGCGGGGGGAGGCGTTGCTTTGCCAACCAATGGTGCATCGTTCTTTTATTAACTCCTTCTGAGCTGGACTAATGGGGGGGAGAGTCCTGACAGAGCCCCCCCCCCAGCTGCTGCTCCCGTCCATACAGTGTAGTGACCGGGGAACCACATGCAAGCAGGGACCCGGGGGGTCGAGGCCAGCTGTAAGTGTGGCGCTCAGTGCCAGCACAGCCTGACAGAGTCCGAGAGCGTGGGTCTGACTAATCCAGCTGTTTGAGCAAATCAGGCTTAACGATGACGGATCCAGCGATGCGAGACCCGGTGGCTCGTGGTGAGAGGTCCGTTCTCAGCCTTGCTCGCAGGTCTGCACGGCTGTGTCGGGCATTGTATGTGCCCTGCCTTTTTCTTTGCTGCCTGGCCGTAGTGGTGCGAAGGTGAAGCCTTGGTGTTCTCCGTTGGGAAGAAGTGCAATTATTATTGTTAATGATTTATAGTGTGGTGCTGCCTGAAGGCCTCAGCCCGGGTTTGGCTCTGTGGTCCCAAGCTGTGGACACACAGGTGAGGAGAAATGCCCGTCCCGGGGGCTCACAGGCTCTGAGGCACAGGTGTGGCTCAGTCTTGAAGGCCAGGACATGAATGAGCTCAAATGACGGCATCTGACCCAACGGCAGGTATGTGAGGAGTCAACGATGTACTGGACAGGACAGCAACCCCGGCAGGATCACGGCTTCAGCACCGACCCCTGAGGACAGGACAACCAGGCCCAGTATCGTGGGGCAGAGCAGGTGGGCCTGAGCCAAGCAGGGCAGAGAGTCCCTCGAGGTCAGTCACTGCAGCACGTGGAGATGATCAGGGCTGTGGGGGGTCACTCACGAGGAAGCCTTGGTCTGGGTCCTGAAGGGTTAAAAGCCATCCCTGCCTTTTGGTGGAAGGAGACAAACCGAGCGGGAAGAAATAGCAGCCACAACAACAGAGCCGTTATCTACGTGCAGGAGGGTCCCACCCCACCCTGCGCGCTGGTGCAGGGAGAGGGCTCCGTCGGCGCCCAACCCACCAAAACCCTTTCCTCCATCCAGTCGTCACCGTTGTCATGTCCCGCTCCTGGTGGGACTGGCAAGGGTAGGAAAGGACCCGTGGGCGGGAGGATTTCAAGCCCCCACGTTCTTTTAGCTAAGGAGCCTTTCTCCCTTGGTCACAGATATGGGCTGCGCTGCTAGCAAAGCAGGACATACGGATATGCATACGTCCACATCCCACGGGCAAAGGTGCGGGAGGCCCATACGGACTCTGTCCTTGCTTTTAAGCCTCCGATTTATAAATCAAACAGTGGTAGCATCTGGAAGGCCATGCCAGGAGAAGCCTGCTCAGAGAGGAAACGCTCTCGGGCAGGCCCTTCCCAGGGTCTTCCCCTCGTCCTTCCCCCTCTGCCCTTCCTGCCCACATGCGGGCACCCCCGCTGGGGTTCGCCCCGCATAGAAGAGCCGTGGCAGCAAAAGGTGGGTGAGCAGATGAGCAGCGCCCAGTTATGTGCCTACGCTGGGAGAAGAGGAGCCCTCGGGGAGGCTTCTGGCATCCGACCGGTTGTATCAGCACCTGATCTTCCCCGGCTGTGCTCAGGGTCGGCGCCTGTGACCCGGCTCCTCGCTTTTTGGCTGGGATCCTGCTTCAGACCTGGGGGTTTGCTCAGGTTTAGCAGGGATGCTCGGCCCCCCTGTAACCAGCCTGCTGGCAGGTCCAGGAGTCAGACGACAGGAAACGAATGAGTAACACAGTGCTCGACACATGAGAGGACGAGGGAGATAAAAGAACCCAAACTGGCTGCACGCGCCGCACAAGCAGAACGAGGCGCTGCGCCGCCATAGGGGATCGAGTCCAGGTGACTGGCAGGCTGGCTCCCGAGGCACGGAGGAGCCTCGCGGTCACACGCTCCCAAGGACTCGAGGTGATGGGAACGGCAGACTGGTGGGAATGCGGAGTGTGGAGGTGCAATTTGGTTTTACATCCCTCCACTTGCAAGAAAAGCTGGGTGTTCATTCACAGCCACTGGTAGTGGGGAGCACAGCGTAGCCCTTCATCCAGACAACGAACCCCCTAGCTTCTCCTAGACACGACTATGCTTATTCTGCAGTGCTGATCCCTGGAGCGACGTAGGGCGCTTGTATTTTTAAAACAAAAAATACCAATGAAATAGGGGGAGCAGGATCAACCTGAGTGCTTTGGGACTCTGCTCTGCCTCCCCAGTGGTAACCGCTCGTGGAGTTATTCAGCAGTCCTGGACAAGTGATGGCTAGGTGAGCCCTCGCCCTGAAGCAGGTGACACTGAACTCTACAGCCACAGGTTTCTCTTTTCAGGTCTGAAGAAACCCCCAGACTAAAAGCAAATCTCATCTGAAATGTCTGCCCTCTCAGTGGGCTTCATTACTGGCTTGTTTCATTAGCATAAGGCTGATGAGATGACACCTGAAGTTTTTTTTGGCCTTGATGGGGCACTGCATGCTGTGACCTGCAGCAGCAAGTGATGGATGAGAAACCCCTGCAACCTGCTCCAGTCTGTGCAATTCAAGTGCCATAAAGGCAGGACCAGAGAAGCACAGGTCTATAAGCAGGATTTATTGGCCATGGTTGCTGCAGTTACAAAATAGTTGTTAGCTTTGTCTCAGCCATCTCTAACTAAGAAATGGGTTTAAGGGGCTAGGTGAATTCATAATTACTAACTCACTTGTCCTGAAGGAACTACACTGCAGCCTCAAAAACTCAGCTGAGCAGTGGCGGAGGCTTAAAACAACGCGGAGACAGAGATGGAAGGAAGAGGAGGACCAAAGATGTTATTAAACGCTCTGGGACTTACCCCAAAGAAACATGCAGGAGAGAAATCAAGGGACTGAGCAAATTCTTCTAGGCACGGATCCGGAAAACATTGCCAACTGTATTGTTTTCTACTGTAATAGCCCCATTGAGGGCAGCGTGCCAAATGAGAGGTGATGACTTAATTGATGTAAGTCTTTTCACTGATTTAGACTCCGTTGCACTGCGATTCATTTCGACTTACTTGCAATCGCTCAGAGCCCATGCGAGAGAATCATTTTGATGCCTAAGAGCAAGAGGAAGGTGCAAGGGTGCATTAAAGGATAGGGGGAACTTAGACCTCTTTATATCTCCTGGCACTGATGTGTCGAGTAGCTTAGATTCCTGGGCCCAAAGGAAATGCAAGTTGGGGGTGCTAAGGGAGTCCATTTGAGACCAGGATGATTCTAAAAAATTCAAAAGCTAGAGAACTTAAAATCCCTGCAATGAAACCCTTTTTGATGGGATTTAAGCATCTGCCTGCGCCGCGTGCAAAATACGCACTGTGGCATGATAGCTGAGAATCAGCAAGTGGAAGCGGCTATAACCAGGAGTGAAAGAGGCTGGTCCATTTTCATCATCCAGGCAGAGACAGAGATGGATTAAATGCTCAGGGCTTTGTGAAAAGCACATTTGATTCATTTGTGCAGTTGTTGTAGCGTTTCTAATCTACAGCGTTGGTAGTTGTGCCGTCGAGACTAGGTTTGGAATACATAAGACCAGCTTCTCCACTAATACAAGGAGCGAGGCTGATCTGCACTCGCTGGAGAGCCATCTCATCGCTTTGATCTTAAATGTCCTTTTGAATCTTGAAGTCCGAGAGCTAATTTCCCTTTCAAAGTTCGACCCAACTTCCTCGTTACTTTAGCTGCACGTGCTTGTGTGCCCTGGCACCCTGCGTGGGGCAGAAATCTGCCTGCTTAGAAAGACTTCAGCGGTTTGGATTGAGCTGTGTTATTGCTGCAATTTGGTCTCCTGCTTACATGCCCAGCTGGTTTTTGGGCACCAGCATCTGTGCCTTAGAAAGTATAATGTGAGGCTGTGTTAATGAATGCAACCCGTGTCCGTTTCCTGCTCTTTCCCCTGACTTTTACACCAGCCCGATCTGTGCATTTGCTGTTGTCAGCATGAAGCTTTTCTGTAGTTCCTCTCTTCAGACCTTCTGCTTTGTTGACTCTCATTCATTTCAGATCTGAGAGAGAGAATATCCCTTTGCTTCTCTGGCTATGCCACTCACCCCTCACCTCTGCCAGTTATGGCTTACAGTTAGGCAGCAGAAACTGGCTGTGCTTAGGGCACACTGCAAGAGTCTGAGTTAACACGTGGCACTGAAAGTGCAAACTGGTGCCGTGGCAATTAGCCATCCAACAGGTCTTGGCATCTTTGATGGGCCATGCAGAATCCTCATGACTCCCCGGAAGAGCAGGTAAATATGTTTGATAATATTTGCAATCAAAGGAATGGGGTATTATTGAGGGATTGTGCTTTTTCTGTCATAAGGGGAGGACTGGTGGGATGGTTACGGCACTGGCTAGGATTGGCAGGGTGGTTACACACCTGGCACCTGTCTCGGTCACTACTCCCTGTGTGACGTTGGCCAGTCACTCACTGTCTCCGTGTGCCTGTTTCCAGCACGATGGAGCCCTCACCAGTCGCAGGTGCTACTTTCAGGCAAATAACTACATACTTGACTGGCAGACTTGAATTTTACTTTTGGCCATGCTACTGACTCCTGGTGTGGCTTTGGAAGGCCAGTTATCGCTCCTTGGCAATGCCCACGTGGCAAGGGTATCTGGGGTAGGTATGCTGCAGCTAGCTGTACTCTCAGCAACTCGCCTCCTGCATGGAGCAGTGGTGGCAGCACTCTGAGATCTTACCTTGCTTTATGAAGCAAGTTACTAGGCCAGAAAGCCTTGGTGAGGAGGTTAACCGCCAACAGACACGGTTCCAGCTGGGAGGAAGAATGACAATGGGGGAAGGATTTGGGACCAGCCCACCTGGAGAGGCCACCCACCGGCCCAGCAGGTTGGGCAGGATCCCTGCCCCAGTGACTGCATTTAAGGCCCTGTTACACGTTACATATATCACACAATTCACAGGTTCATCTTGGAATTAATTGAGATAGGCCACACATGCAAAGTAAGACTGGCCGTTCATGCCAAGCACTTCTCACGCTACGAACTGACGAATTGCACCACACAGTCAGACCAGCCAGCCACACGGTAACCATCGCACCACGAGGCCCCTGCTTCACCTTCCATCTCTGATGCCATTAACTAATGAATCGCTCCATACGTTTCCACCGGCTGCCCAGGCAAAGCAAGGCTCATACCCGAAAAATGACCATGGAGTTACAAAACCAGTTAACCAGCTACAAAGTTAGTGCCTGAACATGCGGAACAACAACTGCAGGGCTGGTTTTCCTCCAGCTACCACTTGAATGTGCAGCAGGGGCCCAAAAAAGGACTCTCTAGCTATAGACCGGTCACTACTACTGCTTGAACATGTGGGCTCTTTCCTCCAGCTGCTATTTGAATGTACAGCAGGGACCCAAAAAGGGCTCTCTAACAAGGACTGGTCACTGTTAGTGCTTGAACAAGTGGAACGACGACTCTAGGGCTGGTTTCCCCCCAGCTCCCATTTGAATGTGCAAATGGTCTCTCTAGTTAGAGCTGGGCCACGCTATTAGTGCTTGAATGTGTGGAAGAAAAACTCCAGGGTTTTTTCCTCCAGCTGCCATTTGAACGTGCAGCAGGGGCCCAAAGAGGCCTGGTTGCTGTTAGTGCTTGAACACGCAGAACAACTCCAGGACTTTTCCCTCCCGCTGTTGTTTGAACGTGCAGCGGGGGCCCAAAAGGACTCTGTAGTCAGATGGGAAATGCTACTAAACTAGTGCTCGAACACGCAGAACGACTCCAGGGCTTTTCCCTCCCGCTGTTGTTTGACACTGCAGCGAGGGCCCAAAAAGGACTGGTCACTGTTAGTGCTTGAGAGTGCAGAACAACTCCAGGGCTGGTTTCCCTCCTGCTGCCATTTGAACGTGCAGCAAGGGCCCAAGAAAGGACTCTCTAGCTATAGACGGCTAGTACTGCTAGCGCTTGAACATGTGGAGGAAAAACTGCAGGGGTTTTCCCCACAGCTCCCATTTGCACGTGCAGCAGGGCCCAAAAGAGACTCTCCAGCTATAGACGGGGCAGTGTTAGTGCTTGAACATGTGGAAGAAAAACTCCAGGCTGGGTTCCCCCCACCACGGCTGCCACGTGAAGGGCCCAACGGAGACTCCCCAGCTCGGTGCTAGCGCTTCAACATGAAAAACTGCAGGGGTTTTCCCTCCAGCTGCCGCTTGAACGTGCAGCAGGGGCCCGACGAGGCCTGGTGGCTGCTCGAACAGGCAGGGCTGGTTCCCCGCCCCCCCGGCATCTGAACGCGCAGCGGGGCCCCCCAAAGCGACTCCGCAGCCACAGCCGGGTCAGCT